ACTAGATGGTCTTTGAGGTCCCTTCCAACCCAAACTATTCTATGATTTTGTGAAACTGGATTTCTTTAAAAAGACCATCCAAGAAAGATTCTTGATTATTCAGTAAAATAAGGATTTTTTTTTCCTAGTAGAGAAACCCCTTACAGAAAACATTATTTCTAAATAATGTGTGTGTAGTAGTGTCACCGTCCACCAAGTAGTACTTTACCTCATAATGTTACTGTGGTGTAGATATAATAGTAATGTTCCATAATAAGGTTTACTGACTATGTTAATAAATGATCTAGCAGCTAATTGTAACTGAGCTGTCTCTGCTGAGTCCTTCACTTCTACCCTCCTGGCATCTCCCCTAGAGCAGAAAAAAGAACATGCTCTTCAGGTGAAATACCTTTGTGGTATGTTGTGCTGGTGTGCCTGAGTCCCAAGGGATGAGTAAGTAGGAGAGGCACCAGCATTGCTTGGTTTGCAAAAAAGTAAATTCCTTATGGGAGCTTTGCCCATTCCTGTAGGAAGGCTGCATCACAGAAGAAGGGAGCAAGCAGTCACTAAGGACAGGATAAGATGATCCAAGCTCTCATTGCCCCTAGGTCTCTGACCCATTGTTCAAAATTTTGAAGTGTTTTAGTATGACATGGTATACGTGATCTTTTGGTGATATAGATGTAATGAACGATTCAAATGTCTGTTACTAATAGGAATGGAATCACAGCAACAAACAGTTCTGGTAATAATGTGAAAATCTTGATGTCTTTTTGATAATGTTTCTTCATTCTTTACTTGCAAGCGGTATTTGAACTCAACACTCTAAATATATGAATGGAATAGGTAGTAGCCAAGTGAACTTTAACAAGCAATGATGAGATCTATCTTGCTATAATTTGAGAGGTTTTCATTCTGTGAACGGACTGCTCTTAGGATTAATAGCTTGTCAGACATAATCTCTTTTAGTTGTAAAACTAATTTAAATATTGATTTATATCTGAATCTTTCTTCTGGCTGTGTTTACATGTGGGGGTAATGAAAGGCCCCTTGATAACAATATTGATGCTGATGAAGGTGCAGGAGTTCTGTCTGTGAAAGAAGGCAGGCTGAAGTCTTTGCATAGGTGAGAAAGTGGCTTTCTTACCAAATGTCTTGCTTGACATTTGTGCCAGTAAACAGCCGACTCTTTTTAAAATTGCAGAATGAATAGTGCTTTCCCCGTGCTCTTTTTGCTGTAAATTGCTCTTCTAGTTTTATGACAATTTAGTAAATAATAAAGTCACTGTGCACATTTTTCAGCTCTGTGGACTACTCTTTTATTTGGTTTGTTTTAGGAAAACGGAAGCTAATAAAGCAGGAGGTCTAGCATCCCTTTCTGATGCACCGCCTCTAAAAAGTGAGTTAAGCTCCCTGACTGGTGCACCTTCACTAAAGGAGCCTGATAGTAAGTTTTCACATGTTTTTATGTTTTGATGAATATAGGAGATTATTTCCTGTAATGTAATGAATGATCTACACATCCAAATGCAAGTGTGATTAAGAAACCTGTCTGTGGCCCCCTCCTGGTTGTAATGTGCTTCATAGTAATGCTTTCTTTCACTGAGTGATCGTCACATACTGGTTGTGATATATTATGCTACCATTGGGGCATCTTATGTTTTGGAGCATGAAATACTTATCTACACTCCTTTTTTGTGTGTGTATAAAGCAGTTTTCAGAAGTATAACACTCTACTGCTCAGTTTTTAACTGAAGTTAACTTACTCCTTTGCATTGTTATCTTACATTATTTGCACAAGTTCTTTAGGGATATTTGCTTTCATGTTGTAAAACCTGATCCTCAATTGTCCCTGTTTGCTGCTCGTGTTTTTCAATGTTAAGAGGTTCATACCTGAAAATTGGATATAAAATTACCATTCTATACCATAAAATTATATAAGGTTATTATAAAAGAACACCTCTTATAAATGGTTGATGGGTATGTTTAAGTGGGATCTTTTTGCAGTTACAAGTCAAATTTCTAATATAAATGCTTTTGTTTTGTTAGATTTGAATAGAAACTCTGTTTTGAAAGACCTGCGGTTGGTGAATGCAAAACTGGGATCACTAGAATTAGGCAAGTAACTGCTAAACGTGAGGAAGCTCTGATACTTTTAACTGTAAGTTCTGGCCTGGCTTCTTAGAGATATCAGAGAAACTGAAATACACATATTGAACTAAAATCTTCAGGTTTTACTTCAGTCACTCTAACACTGTTGTGAAACTTAGTGGAGTTAAGAGCAAGATCTGATCTAAAGGAATACAGAAAAGTGAAAACTGGTGTCTTGTATATGGATTCATTCTGTGCATACGTTTGCTAATATCAAGTGATAAATTTTATTGTCTAGGTTCCTAAGAAAAGAGAGGTTTTATATTTGTAGAAAAAGGTAGCCGGGCAAGTTTTCAATGTTTTTCAATGGTATATTTACTTGCCCTCCACACCTTTCAAAGTTGCTTTGTAAGCTTTAGGAGCAACATGAAGATGATGTGATATAAGGAGTATCAGCGCGCTCTCAAAATAGAGCTGCCAAGTATTTAAATTTTGTCTTCAGCAATGTAGTCAACATCCTGAAAATGTATGTTCAATTTCAAAACAGTTTGTGTAAATGAGATTGTTATTAATTAATGACAAACATAAACTCAGTTTCTCTTCCTAATCTGCGTAAGTAATTTAACCTACTCCCACTTCTGGTGGCCATCAAACCATGTATTTTGGTGCAGGAACAGATTCTTCTTTTGTATTTCCTGAAGAGAAAACTTGTTTAATTAATACCTTTTAAAAATTATTTAGGAGCTGGAGATGACGATGAGTATGCTGATGACTTTAACAGGTAAGAGAAGGATGATACTGTGGTAGCATAGTATTTCATGCATTATAAGCATATCCGCTAGCGTATTTATTTCATAATTCAGCTAGTCACTATTGCTGGAGTCTGTCAGTATCTCTGAACTCCTTTAAACTTCAGTTTGCTATTTTAATACATATAGTTACAAATTTTAAAAAAACAACCAATAAAACCCACCCACAACAGATCCCTTTTGGTTAGGGGATAATGAGTTCCTTAAAAACCTGGTGCTAACTTTAAGATCATGAGAAGCTGTTGCTTTTTTGTGGAAGGTGTTTGGTTTTGTTTGGGTTGTTGTTTTTTTTCCTGACCCATGTACTTAACAATATTTTCACACTTTAATTAATGCTATTAGACAATGAATATGGTGTATGCTGAAATATTCCACTTAAAAATAAAGCATCGTGAGTAGTTAGTAATAAATATTTAACAGCCTCATCCTTATGACGTGAAGGCACTGGTGTTGTAAACTGCAGGATTGAGGCCTAAGTATTTATCACTATTTATCATAGCTTCATCTAGGTAGAAGGGCTTTAGTTCTGAAGAGTTTTTAAGTAACTTCATAATTAACTTGCTAGGAGGTGAAATCCCAATCAAATGTCAGGTATAAAATCAAAGTGAATGTAATATCTGCATGTTTGAAAAGAAAGTCTGATTTCTACATTTATGGATTTCTCTTTCTTTTTAGTACTAGTCATCGCTCAGAAAAAAGTGATATCAGTATTGGTGAAGAAATAGATGAAATTTCTGTGGAAACAGAAGAGTCAAATGCCAGTGATAAAGTATGATTCTTTTAAAATTGCTCTTCCTGACATTCTTCTGAACTTGTCTTTTTTTAACCTTCTGTGAAGGAATGTGCCATTACCATGGGTTCCTAGGATACATTTTAAGCTTGTATTATTTATGTTCTCTATTTTTACACCTAGTTTTCCTGCTAAGTTAGGTACTATACTGATTAAAAACCAAAATAAAAACCCCACAACAATTGTTTGGTAGCACAATTCACTGCCTGTTTCTGGGCGTGTAAGATATATTTGAGACTGGTTTAGCATCCAGCATAGGAATGTCTTATTCGTATATCTCAAGATCTGTCTGAGCAACTCCTAAAGGAGTATGAAATTTCACTGAAAGAGCTTGAGGCCGAAAGGATGGGATGCTATATGAAGGACTACAAGAAATAATACTTACTGTTTCTATGATTGCTGAGTGTGTAATTTCATTTATTTTCTAGCTTGAAGGCATCACGCAAGACCTTACCATTTCTCACTTAAGCGATGTTGCAGATTATCTAGAAGATGTGGCATAGAATTGGACAGCAAAAAATGTTTCATTGTGCTGGACTAGAAGACTGCTGTGGACTGTTAAATTCAGACAATCACTTTTTGCTGGAACGTCCACTCCCTATTTGTGCCTTGTGTTTCAAAAAGACTGTAGGTGGAGAAGGCTTTTAAATATTCTTAACAAGAACTAAATGAAATAGTGAGTTCCCATTTGAGTCTGATATCAGAATTATTTTCTTCATTTGGTTCAGCCAAACCTTTTACAGCAGGAGGTGGATTTTTCAAGCAGAATGTCCATTGCTGGCAGTGGGCATAATAAAAACCGATTATTAAGAGAACATCTACAGAGAGTCATGTGGCTTTATAATGAACTTGCACTGTTATTGTAACAGTCTGCTTTTTTTTTTAAAGATAACCAAAGCAAGAACTTTCAGAGGTAGTGGTTCAACTCACACTTCTTTTAACACAATTTTGTCAAATCAGTATGTAGTACATAATTATGGTAACTCTAGCCACAATACCTAATTGCTCCAGACTTACTTGAAACTGCTGTTTCTCAGACTCTTCTGAAAGTTGGACTTTATTTTTTTTAAAGGCATATCAAGTTGGGAGTATCTAAACTCTCAAATCTAAATTTAGCTAAATTTAGCAGCTAAATTTAGCACTAGTCTTAACTCGGAATATTCTTGTTTAAATATGTTTGTCAGACCATTGATGTTAGGACCTAAGCTGGTTTTATATATGATAATTTCATCGATGTTATCTGTTGTTAAATCATGAAGTAATTTTGTAAAGATCCACAAATCATTAACTAAATCTTATTGCTTTTTGTTAAGTTTTTAACAGTGCGGTAATGGTTTGTGGAGCTTTTGTTATTGAGGGATCTTCATGTGCTGTAAGCTCACTTTCATTCTTGAAAATCCTTGTTACGTAAAAACGAGCGCCAAAAAGTGAAACCACTAACCTTATGTTTTTCAGAATCTGACTACTGTACAGAATTAAATCCAAATATTTAAAAATATTGTACCGAAGACATTATGGACACTAAGTTCTAGCTAAGAGCAAATTCTTGTATTTTCATTATAGTTTTGCAAAACAGGGTCAGTAATGGAAACATTGACAGTTCCTTAACGATACTGTTGTACGTGGCGCTGCTATAATATATAGGTCATGGACATTTGTAATACTGAAATGACTTCAAAATGTGCACTTTCTGAACATTGTGAACACATTTGGAAAATATACATGTAAGTGAATATAAATAACTTAATTTTCTTTAGGTTTTGTAATTTTTTTTCAGGGACACAGCTGGCCTCTCATCAACAGTCATCACAGTGGAAGTAGCATGCTAAACTAAAGCCATTGGTTAAGCATATAGAGCTGCTATGAGCATTGGATTCAACTTTTTTCTGCACTGGGCCAGCAGGCGTGGAGCAGTGTTGAGAAGTTAGGCTTGTACAGCACGTAAATGATTTGAGAGGAGAGACGAAAAGTGTGCCTTTTATTTATGTGCACCCTAAAATAGCCAGCAAAAAAGCATCAGAGTATTTAGTCATGATGTTAACTTCTAACCTTGTGCCATACTGTAGCAGCTGAACACAAAGGTGAATTTGTTCACCCCCCCAAAAAAAATCAATGTGCCATAGACTTCAAATAGCAACAATGTTGCAACATATGCTATACCCTGTGTGTAAAAAAAAAAAAAAAAAAAAAATCCTTTAAGTATGGGGGAACCTGTGCCTCAAGATACTATGTATGAAAAGTTTGTTTTGGGCTTTTTTGTCTTTTTTTTTTAAGAGCAGCAACCGCATATCTGAAGGAAATAAAAATTCCACTCGAACACCTGGGAACAATTGATTTCTGGCATTCATTTTTAAGATGTATGGAATAATGTAGAGGCAGTGTTGTTTGGGGTTTTTTACATGTCTTGGGAAAACATGACATTGTTACTTGTTAGCTGTAGAATATGTGGCAATTTATCATACCAAAAGAAACAAAAATTTCATTAAACTATTTCTAATTGCATTTGAAGATGTTGCCTTTTAAAGAACTAATTAGATATTTTCAGTGTTAACATGACTTTTGTTAACAACAAAGTGTTGTTCTGGTACCTTGGGGGTTAATTGGAGACATTGAACTTTGGCTCTAATTTAAAGAAACGCCAAAAAGTGGTAAGTCTCCATTCTCCAAGTTCCTCCTATGGGCTTTTACTGAATTGCGTATAATAATTCAAATTGCAAAATAAAGCTATTGTGCTGGCTAAACTGTATATTTGAGTCTTCTTGAACCAAAAATCTTAACAGTTAAGAAATTCGGGAAGCCTTGTGGGTTTTGGGGAGTTTTCCTGAAAAAATTTTTTTTCAGAGTTAGTCTGGTTTGCACTTGAGAATGTGTGCATGCTCAGATTTCTTCTAAGCCCAAAGGATCTTGCAGTTCCTGATGGTGAATCCTAAAGTCTGGTTAAGACCAGACTGAATAGGGTTGCAGCATATCAGTCTGAGTTGTCAGAAGGTTTATGATTCAACAGACAAAGGAAAAAAATCCAATCTTGATTGGCAAAACTTTGTCTTGTTTACTGTATTAGAGCTACTTAAACATGACTGACAAGCTAAGCTCTCTTGAATGCTTGTTTTGCTGTACATTTCAAACCATATTGTTTGGTATTTTACATAGGCTTCTCCCTAAAGGACCTGATGCAGTTGAATACCCAATCTCATCTGTCTGTTAGAATTAACTGGAGCCCTGTCATAAAAGGTGGGAAAGTTTTTTAAGTGGTGTTCTGTATTGGTTCTGCCATTTCACAGGGATCTCTGTGGAGACAGACGTGTCCGAGAAGGACACTTATGACTGGTCTGTGCAGTTCTCTACCAACTAGGTCAGGTTAGAAACAAGCTTTTTAGTTAAACCCTCACACTCTGTAATTCAACAAAACTTGTGATTTCCAGAAGTAAAAAATTACAGACTAAGCTATGACTGACAGTTTCATTAATATGGCTGTGGTAACGAGGATGGATTATAAAAATGATACCTGTCTCACTGCTTTTTGTAGTGAAGCTACTGTATTCCACCCTTTTTCTTTTTTTTTTTTTAAGCAAAGAGAAACCATGCCACAGCTGATGTGAGAAAATATTTCCTCATAAGTTATGTTTTTCCCTAGCTGTAACAAAACTGCTCTCAGCTTTGAACTCTTGTGACAATGTAGTCCTTGTTTATACAATGTATCTAGCTCTTGAGACAACTTAAATGTGTCTGTAACCGACAGAGTGATTGGGTGATGATGGTAAAGAAGGGGTTTACTACTTTGTTGGCTTTTCAGTGTAGTGACTTTTACTGATGAAATATGGTCTACAAAGCCCAGCCCTTCTCTTCAGGAAAGAATGTATCCGTGGCTATTTCAGTTTAGTTGTAGATAAAAACTAACAAACTTCTAGTTTTGGCATTGTCCAGGCAGAAGGAATTAAATCTCGGCAAGATGACTACAGCACTTCGTGTTCACGGAAATGCCAGATGGCTCTTTTTTGGTAGGTCTTTTCTGTTTGATGTTTTCCTTGTAAGGGAGAGCCAAGGGAGAAGTTGAACTGAAGTGTAAGAGATGCAGTTTTGGTAAACTTGTAAGTGATCTCACTCATCTTGAGGCTAAATCCTCTACAGACTAGCTATCATGAACGCAGTATTGCAAAAACCTAACTTGCAGCACATGACTGCCTTGATTTCTACAAAAAAAAAAGGCACTGGGCTATTCAAGGTCATTGAATTACCCAAAGATTGAACCTCTGACAGAACTGCAATGAACATCAAAAAGTGCCAGTTCCTTTGTGTCAGTACCAAATTCTAATAAAAATGAGAAGCCAGGGTCCTTAACACTAGCCAGAGCAACTGCCATGGCATACTGGACCCTCACCCCACACAGAACCTGGGGAGGATTTGGCAGTGCAGATGCAGGCTGCAGCTAGTACCTGGAGCTCCTCGGAGGTGAGGAGTGACAGCAGCCTCATCTGCAGGAGCTGTGCTCTGCTCAGGTCACTGAGGTGCCAGGTGAAGCGGGCTGAATGGCATTGGGAATGCCGCCGGGGGGCAAAGTGAGACCCCCAACCCCTGTTGCGTGGAAGAAGGGCAAGGCCAGAGGCAATGTTTCACCAGGGAGGGCTGGGATTCCCAGGGAGGGGAAAAAAAAAAAAAAAGACAGCTCTTTCTCCAGCTGCAGATGCTTACCATGAGAACTGTAGAGCCCTGACAATAAGAGAGGGGGTGACTTGTGTTGGGTGATGCATCTAGCCATGCTGTTGGAGTCAGTGAGGCTGAAAGTGACTTCCTTCTGCAAAGGGCAGCCTCTCTGCCCATGAGACCCATTTGCTCCTTGCCTGAGCCTGCCTTTAGTATGTTGCTAGTATCATGGATAGGTCTTTGGGGTTTTTTATGGCTATGGGACCCTCTTTCCTTTGCTAGGGAAAGGTGGGATGCACCTGATGAAGATGATTTTCTTTGCTGATAGGATTGCTAACTGTGTGAAGAGTTTAAACTGGGTTCATTGGGTGTGGAGACCAAAGCCTGTGGTATGTGGGAGTTGAAGGGAGTACACACAGGAGAGTCTGAGGGAGGGGTATCCCTCACTGCAAGAAGTCAGCGTGACTGGGTTCATCTGAGGTTCTTTTCCACAAACAAATGTGCAACAGAATAAATAAGAGAAAGAGGAAGTCTGTGCAGTCACAATGCTGTGACATCACTGGGATGACAGGAGCATGGTGAAATAGGTTGCACAACTGGAGTGCTGCAATGGATGGACACAAGCTTAACAAGCAGGTGAGGGAAGAAAATGGAGGGGGGAAGGTCCACAGAGGAGTAATCTGAATGTGCAGATCATAAATGGAATAGAAAAAGTCATGATGACAGGCCTGCTAAGTTTGTTGTCATGGTTAAATGGGAGGCCAACAAAGGGGCTATTATGGTAGGCACCTGCAACAGGCCACTCAATCAAGAAAAGGAAGAGAATGGAGCCTTTAAACAATTTGAAGAAGTGTCCTGATTGTGTGCTGTGGTTTTCATGGGGATTTTTAACTACCTCCAATTTGCAGGGAGAGCAACATGGCACAACACAAGCCAGGAGACTTAGAGTATGTCAGGGACTATCTTTCACTTGGGTGCTGGACAGGATGAGGGGGATCCTCTAGATCTGCTGTCCAGGAATAAAGAAGTACTTGGATGCCATAGTCAATAGCAACCTTGGCTACAGTGACCGTGAGATGGCTAAGTTAAAAATCCTGAGAGCAGAGAGGAAGACAAGTAGCAGAGTAATAGTCTTGGACTTCAGGGAAGTGAACTCTCTCTTGCTCAGGGTTCTGTTTGACAGGAGCCCATGGGAGGCTGCCCTGAGGGGTATGGAGGCCAGAGCTGGTTACCTTTCAAGAGGATTCCTTCCACTATGCACAAGGAGGCATAGGCATTGCAGCAGGACAGACTGGCTGATTGAGAAACTCCTGGCTGAGCTCAAATGAAGAAAAATTGTATGGAAAGCAGAAGTGAGGGTGGACTACGAGGGATGACTATGGAACTGCACAGGCACACAGAACAGTACGAGGGATGTCAAAGCTTGGCTGGAGCTGAAACTAGCAAGGGGTGTGAAGGCAGCAAGAAGGGTTTCCGCAAGCGGGACATCAGTAAAAGAACGATGAAAGAAGAATGTGGGCCTACTGCTGAATGGAGTGGGTGACCTAGTGGTGAAGGTACAGAAAAAAAGATTGAGGTACTGTTTCTTCACGTCTGTCTTTATGGCAAGATCTGCTCTCAGGCTTCTTTGAAAGGTCATGGCGATCAAGGGATATTCCTGATGACTTGAAAAAGGAAAATGTTATGTCTACCTTTTAAAAAGGTGAAAAAGAGGATCCAGCAAGTTACAGACCAGTCGGCCTCACCTCAGTCCCTGGGAAATTTGATGCAAGTCCTCATGTCAGCCATTTCTAAGTACGTGAAAGAAAATAAGGTGATTGAGAACAGCAAGCAGGGGTCTATGAAGGGCAAATTGTGCCTGACCAATGTGATCACCTTCTGTCATGGCTCTGAGGGCAATAATGGATGTAATTTTCTTTGGTTTTGGCCGGTCTCCCAAACCATCTATGTAGCCAAATTGCGAACAGATGGGCTGGGTAAAAGGCAGCTTTGCAGAAAAGGCCCTGGGTGCAGCTGTGAAGAGTGAAAGCCTGGAAGAGTGAGCCAGCCTGCTGGCTATGCTTGAGTAGCCGGCAGGCTGAGGGAAGTGGTTGTTTCGTGTGTATTGTGTTCTGCTTGGGCTCCGCTGGTACAAGAGATACCAACAAAATAGAGTCCAGTGGGGGAGCCAGAGGATGGTGATGGGACTGGAGCACGTAACCTATGAAGAGCTGGGGCTGCTCTGCTTGTAGAGGAAAAGGTAAAGGGTGGTTAAGCTGTGGCCTTCCATGCTTATGGAGAGCTGCACGGAAACCAGACCTGGAGTCTTCCTAGAGGTGCCCAGTGAAAGGACAACATTCAAATTGCTTCAAGAGAAATTCCAACTACATACATGAAATAAAATTTTAAAAATCACCATGAGAATGCTCCAGGACTATTGCAGGTGCCCAGAGAGGCTGTGAATTTTCTATCACTGGAAATTTCTAAATCTCAAATGAACAGACCTAGAGTAACCTGATAGCTTTGAAGTTAGGTCTGCTTTAAGCACGAGGCTGGACCTCCCGAGGTCCCTTTCAACCTCCCTTTCGATCTAAATTATTCTGTGATTCTACCAAAATGGACCATTATATAGATGATTAGTTATTTTGGGGATAGACAGACTTCATCTGGCTGCCTCTGTGCATGCAAACTACCTTGTTTGGACATAGAAACAGTTTTACTACAGTTTTTCAATGCAGGTGTTTATGTATATGAAAACTGTCCCACGGAGAAAGGCCAGCATTTGCAAATATAGTAGTTTAACATCAACTCTACTATAAGGTTTTAAACCTTACATTCTTGAAGGAATCTCTTAGAAATTGTGAACTTAGAACATAATTGGATAGTGTGCTGTGTGAATAACTGCAGCCGATCCTTACGCTTGGATCTATCTATGTTTAAAAACAAGCCGTAAAGTTTCTAAAAGTTGTTTTTCAGTTTCTTAGCAGCTTTAATTGTTTTGTTTCAATTGCTCTATGCTGTGGGGAAACCACAACAGATACAAGGTGGTAAAATCAGGTCATTCTCACAGTTCCCCTGTAAAAGTATCACATGCATCTTCATAGCAAGAAAGGTGCTTCAGCTTTTTTTGTTCCGAAATGGAAAAACTTCTACCTTGTGCTCACAACATGGACTGTTTTTGCTGACAGGTGTCCTTCAGGGCATGCTGCAAGCGCCACTATTAGGAAAGAGATGGCATATGGCAGAGCAGTGTTTCCAGTTACATTTTTGGCGTAGGTGATCATGGCAAAATCGCTTTTAAACTGATGTTAACGTTATGTTTTAGGTATATAATTCTGGTGGGTTTTGTTAGGTTATGTGATTAAAAGCTCATTTCCAGAAATGGGAAGGAGGACAGAGGAACAAGGTAACTCCTGTAGGTCCAGCTGCTGCTACCGGGGACTACTCTGATCCTGCAGCTCCCATCCTGAGGCGTGGGGCTGTGAGGTTCGGCACGCCACAGCCACACAGACTGACAAGCCCCTCAGAAAGTACCCTGCAGCAGCACCAAGTCTGCTCGAGGAGCACAGCCTGCCTGGGAGGTGAAACTTTGATGTAGGCGAATGTTAGGTTATGGGATTAAGGCTCAACTCTTATGAGCAAAGAGGAACAAGGGTGCGGGGGGCCCAATACCAAACTGGAGCCCCTGGAGCCCCCCCGCCCTGTCTCTTCCCAGGGCTGTCCCAGGAGATGAAGCAGCCCAAGGTCCTGCAGGCAAGCCCTCAGGTCACCTCACAGGCTGAGGGACCTACAGAGGCATGGGCTGACCATGCTGGGGAGGACCATCTGGGGAGCGCACAAGTCCTGTTTCAGGATGTTTAGGGCAAGGACCTAAAAACGGAAAAGAGAAGGATCACAGTGGTTTGGGGGAACAAGTGTGGGCAAACAGAGGGGGGATAAAAGGGGCCGCTTGCGTGCAAACAGGCTGCTGGGCAGCAGCTTGTCCGGCTGTGCCTGTCCCTGCCCAGCGCCGTCTGTCCTGTCTCCTCCCTGAGCATCGTTTCCAACCCTTTCTAAGCATGAATAAAGGTATTTAAAACTGTCTAAATAATTACGGTTCATGGATGAATTAGACATGAACTCGGGCAAAACCTTGAAGCATACATTTCCTTGAAATCGGTGTGGTATTTCCTACCTAAGAAATATTTTAGAGGCTGGATTTTACAAAAGTATTCTGGCAACCTTTGTGAGAAAAGGCACCTTTATAGTGTGAAGTGGCTCAAATGAGTGGCTAACACGTTGAACGATGCTTTCTTTATCTCTTTTCAACTGCAAAGTAGGAGGACTGTGCTCTGTTCATTAAAAGGAAACCGATAAAATTGAAAGATAAGTAGATCAAAAAATTCTGAGCAAACCAAGAGGGGATTACAAAACATTAGTCCTATTTTTCAGATAATAAAGGAGTCCTGGAGATTAGAATTATGTACACTTAAACTTCATTGTTTAACGCACGTTAATGGGAGTTAAACAATTTAGAAAAAATCTTTAAGGAAGAAATTGTAGATTTCGGTTAGAGATGTTGCCATAACAAAGCAAAAGCAAGCCTTGCCCCTTGCCCCAGCTATTGTAAAAGTGGAGCACTGCAAAACCAGTGTTCTCCCAGTTACACTCAGTCAGTAGCCTAAATTAATTAAGCCTTAAGTGACATTTTAAATTAGGTACCTGAATCAGAAACTGTTAAAACTATGAGAAATTCTGAATTTTGAGCAGGTTTTTGCACTGCAGGTCCCTTTAAGGTGTAGTTACAGATATGGGAAGGTGCTGACATTAGAAATCTGATGTTCCTGGAGAGAAATAAGACAAATTGTTGTGGACTTCTTCCATGAAAGAGAAATTAAAATTCATTAATACCTTCTCTTCCCCTAGTTTCTAATTCTAATATGTTTGTGCTAATCTTATGGTACTTAATTTTAAGGAGTTGAAAGTACCAGTCAAAAAAATGAATGCCCTGAGTCCATAGGTCGCATCTAACCTGAGAAGCTAAGGTAGAATAAACCAGTGTGATTTTAATGCACGGTAGCTCTTCTGCACCAATTCCTTGCATGCATGCTCATTTTGCATTAAATGTCAAAATGAATTAAGCTAAGCTGTGGAAAGATGCAAAGGAGTCCAGAGAGGTACTAAAAACGTGGGCAGAAATGAATGCCGACTACCACTTTGAAAGAACCCAAGTTAATCCAATTTATATGAAGAAAAAGAAATCAAGCACGTATCCGTGAATTGAGACTAGCCCAAAGAACAGTGAAGCTGGGAAGGCAATGGGTGGTAGCAGAGAGCAAGTTATGTAAAGCTGATTGAAACAGTAAGAGTGCCTCCAGCCAGCAGGAGGGCAGTGGCTTAGTGCAGGAAACTCCCTTTGCATTGCCGAAGGGACGGCTGAAGCTGTGCTCCCTTCCCTGGCCTGTGTGGCCATCTTCTTGATAGCAAAGCAGGTACCAACTCAGGTAATTTAGAGCAGGGAGCAGCAGATGCAGGGATTAATTTGAGTTAAAAAATTCAAAAGTCTGAATAAATAACAGCAACACATTAGAGATTAACTGTGGGGAGGACTCTGGTTCTGAAGCAGAAAGTGAGAATCACATTTGTAAGCAAAAATTTGGAAGGTGGGCTTTGTTTTTGGCTGTGGCCTGATGTTGCAGGGGCTGTGCACCGCAGCAAGTTCACCACCACAGCCAGCAACAGCCAGCCCCACCCCACCTTGGGCTTTGGCTCTTCCGAGCAGCTCAGGTTTGGGTGCAATGCAGAAAGAGGTGCCTGAAAAAGCGGAGGCTGTTTGTCTCTTTTTATGTCTTCCTTTACCCCTTTGCTGAAGAGTAGCATTTAAGGTTTGGTTCAGGCTTAGGGCCATGTAGAAGTTAGAAAGTATACAAGTCAGAGATCCACGTGCCTCGTTCAGTCCTCACTCTGTACCCAGCATTGACCATTCCCAACCCCTCACAGCACAGGCTTTGTCCCAAAGGATCGAACCTCTGCAGTACAGCTACAAACCTGAAAGAAAAATAGGGTCACAAATATAGGCCAATTGCCCATGCATCACGGAACAGGAAATCTTGCAGAACAGCCTTTTTCTTTTTCGTTTGCTCGTCTCCCAGTGTGGTTTGTTCTTGTGGTCTTCGAATTTAAAAAAAAAAAGGATGCATCCTGACTCATGCTGTTGTACAACAATGTTCTTACTGATCACCAAGGATATATTGGTCATGGGAAGCAAATTGAAGACTGTCCAGTTGCATGGTCTTTTGCAATAAATAACATTTCTACATTTTGTTGTTGCTACTGTGCTTTTGCTCGGGTTGACTGCTTTTTTTCTGCACAGTAGAGCCTAATTCTGCTAATGAAATATTTTACTGTTACTCGATCCTCTCTGTGCTGCCTGAAGGGGTTGAGGAAGTGAATTAAAACAAACTTTCGACAGGTAGGAACATGAAAGAGATCATCCAGATCAAGCAAACCTAAGCAGTCAGAGCTTATTTTCTCCCTCTTTGGTTCCAAGAGTGTAGGAGTCCAGAAGCTGAGCTGTGAGAAGCTGACCACATAGCTAAAGATAGGCTGCTTTCTTTAGTATGGCTGCACCTCTCCTCCCCCGGCTTTTGTTCTTAAACTGAGGGTTTAACCTAAAACTGCAGTAGTCTGTTGCTTGCTACCAGCCTGGGGCACGCAGTTATTTGGAATGATTGTTACTGAACTGTGGTCATTATTTTAACAAATATGATATTTCATAGAATTTAATGCTCCAACTCAGAGCTGTGGCAGTGCAGAAAAAATCTCACGTGAAGAATTTGCCAGGGCTTTGAGGAAACCAGAAGTTTCACCACTCAAGCTATTGCCCATCAGCACGAGGTGCTGAGGACTGTCCCCACCGTGCCTTCTGGCTGGGAAGGAGCAGTGCCTTGCACTCTGCACAAGGTTGCGCCAGCGGAGGAAAATTTAATAGTGTGATTTTAAACCTAAGTGAATAAGTGCAGAGACACTGATGTCTCTTTTGGCCTTGTGTTAACCTCTGTCTGCAGAAAACTGCACATTTAGACAAAACTACACAAGCACAAATTTGTATCTAGTCTTACTTAGGCACAGAAAGGAGGGGTGAAGGACAGTGGAGGATCGTCTGCTGTATATTTGGAGCCTGAACGGTCAGTGGTGAGGCAGTGTGGGGTCAGTGCTGCGGTCCTGGTGGAGCATGGCGAGTCATGCTCAGGCCATGGGGTGCAGAGCCTTCCTCACTCTCACATTTGTACAGCGGTGTTAGCAAGAAGTTGGGGTATTCTTCCTTCCTGTTAGTTTGATGGCTTGCAAAAAGGTAAAACCCGCTGTTCTCAGAAATGCCCTCTGCATTCATTAGTCCTGAGGCCTGTCAGCCTGGGAACTCAGCCATGCTAAGCACACCATAGGTAGCCACAAGATGGTGGCTTAAAAAGTCCCTGGACTGATTGTTTCAAGCTCCTTCCCTTTGTGTATAGCCTGTTTCCTCTTTGGTTTCCTTTCTGACTTTCCTTGCCTCCTTTGTTGCCTTTATTCCCCTGCGTCTCCTACTGGATTCCTCTCCCTCTGTTGTCCCTGCATTGCCCCTGCTCATCCCATGTTCTCCTCAGTTGCAGTTGGTTTCTGCAGAGTGACACCACGAACCTGACACAGCTGTGCTCCCACCAGCCACCTCTGGTCCCAGCACCGGGAGAAATTACTTTTGTCCAAACACGGTCTGAGGAAGGGCCATCTAGCCCTTATGGCACTGGCCTCCATCTCCCAAGGTATGCTCACAGGTCTGCCACAGGTTTCACAGGTGACTCTGGCTAAGCTGCTTAATGTTTCTGTGTGCCAAGTCCTCAACTGTAAAATGTGGCTGGATGGACCTGCTGCAAGCTGGCAGTTTGTCTGCTCGTGAAGTTCGTTACATCCCTGAGCACCTGCTAGTGCCCCTATGGATTTCCTCCCATGCTGGTCTGGTCACCCTCTTCCTCTCCATCCAGGGACAATGGCCTGTCATTATGACTCCACAACTCTCTGCTGAAAGATGTGATGGTTTGCAGTTTGCTCACTGTTTCAGTCTGGCATAGGTCTGAGGAGACAGCAACACTATTGCTCAGAAGGAAACAAACCCCACCCTGGTGATGATCCTAGCCAGCCTTAAGAGCAATTCGGAGAGAAAAAAGTGAGAAACAACAGGCTCTAGATGGGAGTAAAGACAGTTCAACATACTTCTGTATGTGGGTGAGAGGCCTGACTAATCTATCTACCGGTCTTCTCAGTGTTCTGGAAGAAAGCCCTTAAATTGCCTTCAACTAAAGCAGATTTGATTTCCTCCTAAGAACACTATGTAGTTCTTGAAGAGTTCAACAGTGGAGGCCTGCACTTTTAGCGGTACATTAAAGCTGTTGTGGGGTGGGAGGAGATGCAGAAACCAGGCAGACTGAGAGGCAAAACTTTCAGGAGGGGCTGATAGGCAGAATTGGGCACCCCAGAGACATGCTTAGAAGTTCTAGTGCAGGGGAAGTGCTTCAGACTCTAGTCTGAAGTTCAAAGCATTTGAGTGGGATAGGGACAGAAGACCTCCACCTTGGGAGAGCAGGCTGGTGACTATCCCATGAAGAAGCTGCTGTCTACAAGAGCTTCAAAGCCTTGACATGAGTTGGATGCTAAGGTACTCTAAGACAGACTGAAAACCTCTCTGGGCCTTGCAGGACAGCAGAAACAGAGAACATGAAAGACATTTAACATAGGATGTTACCATCTCAGATATTACAAGATAAAGTTGGAGGCAGTGAGCAATCTCTGCATTTATGACTATTAAAAGAAACAAGTCTGATTCTAATCTTTTCCAATTATTAGAACGATGAGATTTCAACTTCATCAAAAATCATCTGAAGCCCTCTCCAAAACAAAGCACCCTTAGTACTCAGCTTATAGCAAATTGAACCTTCTCAAAGCTTCTTTTTTCTTTATTCAAATAGCAGCTTTTATTTAACATATGATCAGAGGAGAGCTTTTAAGGATAAAATCTTGTGCTGCCCTCAGTGAGGGGGCATCTTCCACAGTAGGAACTCAAAATAACTTTTAACCACAAATCTCCTGTTGCTTCTAAAAATCTTTCAGTCTAATCTTTTCAGTCTTGCCTTTTACAGTTTTTGTTGCACTCAACTGTGACGGAAAAGGAAAATTAGTGCAAGCAAAAGTTACTTCAAAGTCCTAAGAAAACCTTCAGGGACAACTGCAAAAATACTGGCTTTTCACACACACCTTTTGTCGTAGACTGAAATGGCCTCACACTGACCCTTCATTTTGCTTAACCAGATGGGATCTACATTACGTGCTTGAAGGCTTCTCTCCAGCTATTGGCATGGGCTCCCCCTCACCCTTCGCAGGCAGGGAGGCACGTCTGAGCAGAGGGGTAGTTTCTGAGGTTCAGCCTTTCCCTTACCTACCACCATCTTGCACAGAGAAGTGTTTACCTAGGTATCGAATCCTCGCAGCTGGTTCAGATGATGAGGAACCCGCAAGGAGATAAATTGCTATCACCATACCATACTGTAACAAGAATGTATTTTTTGAGTCATTAATCCTGCCATTGGTTCCACTACTATAGAGCCAGGGGAACTTCTGAATTCTGAGGTGTAGCTCACGGTTATCAGGCAGTAGCATCTCAGTAGCACATGACATGAATCTAGTAATTACGGTGTAACTCCTTTCATAGTTACTCTTCAGTAATAACATTAAGTGAGACATCACAGTGCAAGCTCTGTTGTTGTATTGGTTTGGATTAAAGTTTTGAAGTGGCTTCAGGACTTCCAGGAACCTTCTGGCTGAGCTCAGCTGGTAGGAGTCCATCCCTTTCTCCAGCACAGCTGAGGCATGGTGTTTATCACATAAAATTACTGGGAAAATTGCAGCAAAAATCCTGTTCAGTGGAAGCTGCTTGCCTGTTTTAGCACCACTGAAGTATTAACAGCAAAGATTCTTTGACAGGGGTACAAGCCAGCCTATGCCAGAGGTGGTGTGGGTCAGGCTGGTCAGACAGGTCTGGAAACATCTGAAGGGGAACAAACACCTCTTAAGTCCCGTTGTCTGCATTTGCTGTGGGAAGCAGCATGTCAATGCCAGTCTTGATGTTAATGTAAGAGAAACCTCTTTCTGTTGGACAGGCAGAAGGGGGCTCCTGAAGGACGGGAGGCTCTGTGTGCCAGCTGCAGCAGGGCGGCCCAGGCATGACCAGCACACACAACATATTGTGTCCTGCCAGGAAAATGTCATTGTCCCTCCAGAACCAGGCCAGGGTGAGGCTTAGGGGATGCTTTCCAGACTTCGTGTGTCACTGTGGGTTAGTGTGGACAAACATCACCTGTGTAGGTGAGATCTTCCCTCTTGGTTGCAGGTGGGAAGGAGAATTCCTGCCAAGAACCCTTCCAGTTGGGAAGACCCAACTCATTTAGGATCAAGGTCCGGGCTCTTCCTGCTGGCTTTTGCCTGACCCCTGAAGGAGTCAGTTTTGTTTGCTAAATAAAAAGGAAATTCCTCGCTTGAGGAAAAAAACAACAACAAAAAAAAGAACCAAAAAAAACCCCAAGCCAACAAAGGAAGAGGAGTAACAGTTTTCTGTTGTTTTGGCAAACTTAGCCAGCCGTCTGAAGAGAAAAGCAGGTGCCAGACCCCAGGAGAAGGTAAGGGACCACAGCCATAGTTGAGCTTTGGCTCAACTATCTCTTGTAACCTGACTGAAAACCACCTTTGGGACTCTTCACACATTTAGAAGAAGCAGGTGTCTAAACACCTTGCTAGACTGAGGCATTCCCTGATTCAGAAGGGGCTGAAGAGCCAGCGCTACAATGTTAAATGAAATGCAGCGGTGAGCAGCGGGCACGTCGACCCTGTGCCTTCACTAACATTGAGAACTCAAGGAACAGATTACACAAACTTCATGTAACCAACATTGCTTTGAGAAACCACTTACAGTTTGGATTGTGGTTTTATATATTTGATATTAAAATGGTTCTTTTGAAGTGTGCCTTGAGAGTTACAGCACTTAGTCCTGGCACTGGGGACTGAACAGGGAGCAGATACACTTGAGATGGATGGACAAAAAGTGCAGAGGAGCAGCATCGCTGCTAGCAGGTAGAATGAAATGGCTGACTGGGCCAGGTCTCACTTCAGCATTTCAGCTAGTGATGGTTAGAGGTATTGTGGGAGAAACTGAGCTTTGAAATAAGAAAAGGAATATCGTGCTTGTGAAATAATGAAAAAACAAGAGTGTTCTCCCAGCTGAGGCATGATCCTGACTCCAAACACAGACTGGTGAGACTAGTTGAACATGGACAGAAAGAATCCTTTGAGGGTGACAGAAAGAAACATGTTTCACATGTCCATCTCTGAAGGGAGTGACTTTGATAGGGCACATTAAGATCGGTTCCTTCTTGTCCCTCTTTCTAAGAGGAAGCAGACAGAGCCAAGACTGCTTTGCGTGAGGCCACAGAGAACAGCCTTGGGGAGCAGCTGCAGATCCTGGTAAGGGCATTGTCACGAAATGAGATTTTGTTACAAGGCTTTGCTTTAGCAGCAATTTAGGATTTATTAATATTTTGAGATAGATCACAATGTTAGGTTGTATAATTATTAACAGCTCTTAATCATCAGCCAGTTTAACAGAATGATTCAATGGAATTTGTTACAGTCAAAATAGCAACTTAGTTAAAGATTTGAAAAAGGCAAGGGTCACCCAAAACTTACAGCAGGGTTGAACACACACAGATGGGGTTTAAATCAAATCACACCTACAGACAGGCAGACAAATAGTCCTGGATCAAATTACAGACACAGACAGACAGACAGGCAAATAGTTCTGAACCAATTGAATACACACACATACAGAGGTTAACCTATGATTAAAATTTCCCTTTTTGTGAGTTTCATTAATTACTCACTTTTATGTGCCAATATTCATCAACAGACAGTCGTGAACCTCGCGAAACCAGTCCTTTGAGTCCTTGTGAAATTGTCGATGGGCGATCTTTGAATCCTGGTGAAATCTACGCTGAGCGGCGTCCCAGCTTAGGGGAGATCCTGGGTCACAGCCCGCTGCGGTCACAGAGAGCTCAAAGGGTTTCACTTTTGGATGGCTATGTATAGGATCTCGAGATGATTGGCTTTGGTCAGTATTCTCCATTCTGGCCACAGATGGTGCTGAGTCATTCTGGTAGACAATTCAGACAAGCAGATGGCCCAGGTGTGGCCAGGGGGTGCCTGACGCCCAAGTCACTGCGCTTCTATCCAAGATAGCGGCACCATGGGGCTTATCCTGAGACCTCAGAGTGTCCCGGGGGGGGGGGGGGGGGGGGGACAAAAAAAAGGGGCGGCACTACCACAGGCATCCATGCTAATGTCTAGATGGTGATTCCTGGGATAGATGCTAAAGCTTTAGGGTAGTGAGAGCCCACTGGGGATGAGTGCAAATTTAGATGTCTACCAACCCTGGTCAACAAAGTGGGAGGAAGCTGCAGTGAAGCAGGAAGTGGTTAATATTAGCACATTTTCCCAAATCTCAATGGTGGGGGCAACCAAAACTTCCTGGGGAGGAGGGAGCATGGGCAGCTATCCGTTGCTAGCTTTCTCAAGTGTGTCCTCAGAGACACCCATGCTTTTTCCCTTCAGTAAAGAACATGTCTGTGCTGCACAACACAATACCATGAAGAGATGAGTAAGGTGCCTGGGCAGGTATCAAAAACAGTCTGACTTGGAGCAGGATAAATGGATCCTTTGGGGGCTGTACTGCATCTGGCACCTGAGCTATCTGGCATAGCTTTGCACTGGGTAAGGAAGATATACTGACAGACCTGTTAAAAAGTCTTGGATTTGCTGCAGATGGAGAAGTTTCCTTGCCAAGGCCAAGAGCCCTAACCAAGTTTCCAGTTTTCTAGCTCTAAATTCAAACCAGTGCCAGAATACCTACATAACTGAATCTAGCTCTTTTGTGCTACAGGGGCCACCTGGCAGAAGGGTTGTACCTGAATATCTGGACTAATCATCTACTGTTCTTCACTACCCAGCCTGTTACTCTATAGTATCATTTCAGTAGATTTAACTATGCTGCACGGTTCTCCAACGTACCTGCCCCATAGCATTATCAGTTGTCTGTCTTACTGCAGGCTAGATTATATTTACGGAAACAAACTCATCGTCTCTCAGGAATGGGATGTAAGGACCATGTTTGCATAATTTGTGCAGCACAGAATTAATCAACACCAGTTGCCAACTTGCTGCTCTTGCAAGGAAGCAGTCAGTACTGTGCCTCCTGTTACTTTTTTTGGTTTCTTTTCTTTTTCTTTTTTTTTTTTTTTTACTACCTCTATAATCACAGCGGAAAAATCAATTTTATCAAAGCACTAACCACTAGTAAGTGACTGCATGCATGAAGACCTAGAGATCAAATGATAACACCAGTTGCCCACTCTTAGAAGGGAAGTGCAAGGTGAACTATCTGCTGCAATATGAATTCAGAGCGCTGTGTTAGCTGTTCACAGCAGAGGATCCTGTGTCAGGAGCTGCTTTCCCTGAGATCTGGTTGGCACAACACCCCAATGTGCATTTACATTCCCTCCTAATGCACATGGAAATTCATGGGTATGCTCAAGTCTCTAAAGGGACCAAGGTACCTAGTTTCTGTTGACTGCAGTAGGAGTTAAGTGCCCAGTACCTTTAAAGCTTATTAAAAGCAGAACGATTTAAATATGTGCTTGATTGATTATTTCACTGATCCACATCTGACCATAGGGAGGATTTGTGATTAGGACACAACCTCCTTCCTATGCCAGTCTGCACAAGTGGCATCTCAGTGGTGACTCTTTAGGAACAGTAATTC